CTTCTGGCTTGGGCAGCCCTTTTTTTAGCCTGCACATCGCTGTCCAACCCACTAGACAGCACGCGCGCACTGCCCAGTCGTGCGCCTGCACGCTGCCTAGTCTGCCTCCCTGCACGCTGCCCAGTCCGCCTATTCGCGCGCCAGTGTTGTCCAGCCGACTGGTTTGCGAGCCTGAGCTGTCCAACCCACCATTTTCGACACCCAAGTTGTCTGGGACAGCATTTTCGGCACCAAAGCTGTCCAGGACAGCACCTCCAACACCCAAATGGTCCAGACCAGCCTCTAAGCTTCCCAAACCAGCGCCTAAAGTGGCGCCTACCTCCTCCCTTCCTTCGATCTCCACCACTCCCTCTTCAATCAACATGGCCCACTTGAAAACTCCACTAGAAAAGAAGAAATCCCACCTATGCAAATGGGTGTGTATATATATCTATATACTCTTGGAAGGATTCAAGAAGAACACACTTGTTCCTCTCAAGTTCCAACAAAATGGGTAGGACTTGGGTTTTTAAAGTTCTCAAGAATGGATGCTCAATCTCAAGGCAAGTGAAATGGGTAGAACTTGGGGTCTCAAGATTTTCAAGAATGGTGTTCAATCTCAAGGTGAGTGAAATGGGTAGAATGAAGAAGAAGACTATATTTATAGTCTAGGGTTTTTAAAAGAGGAAAAAACTCAAATTGAAAATTATGGGCCCTCTTAAAAATCTTAGCAAAAGTGGGAAAGGCTTGAACTATGCACCAAAGCCAAAAATACATTACACAAATGAAGAGTCAATGCCTTCTTCTCCAAGTTTCCTTAGACATAGGAGACATTGGCTGGCAAATGATGGGTCAAACCCGAGAAAAACCCAATTTATTTGAAAAACTCAAACCTCAATTGAAGAGCCCAGTCTTATAAAGACCTACTAGGCCTAATATTGTCTAAGTCCAGTCTCATTAGTTCCGCTACGCCATCAAGAGAGAAAGAGAGCACGGGAGCCTTACCTGCACTGCCAAGGAAACAGTCCACCCTCACCTTATCCTTGACCACATCGCATGGACAGCATCTCAACCACCTCGCCCGTTGAGAAGAAGTCGTAAGCTCCACCAAAATGGTTTCTTAGTTGCTGTAAAATAGCTTCAACCTGTTAGGGGACCACTATAAATTGCACGCTCCACCAACACTTGGGGGGCATCACACATCACCTGAGCACGACTTTCTCCTCTCCCTCAAAGCTTGTACTCTCCGCTCCCCACACCTTTGAGTTAATAAAATACCCAACAACCAAAGCCATTGAAGAGTGGACATAGGTCAAGCTAACCGAACCACTATAAATTGTCTGTGTCTTTCTATCTCCTGATATTATTTTCTTGCATTTATTATTCACACTTGACAGGTGGTGTACAAAACTATTTTGTGCATCATCAGGAACATTTTTCTGTCATGTCCTTAAATTACCTTGAGTTACGATAGCTCGTCTTAAAGTTCAAAGGAATAGTCATCGTAAGCCTGTATGCCCAATGACCAAAAAAAAAAAACATATAGAAGTGTATTATTTATATAAATTACTCTTGCAAAATAATAATCAAATATAAGCTATTAGAACAACAATAATAAAAATATAAAATCTCCATCGCCTTAAAGATGGTATGAATTACGTCTGCATAACAAACTAATACGCAATTAACATAGAACAACAAATCCAGAGTAAAAAATATTGCTCTGGCGATTAGAAAGCCAAATGATGATAGGAAGCTCATACCAGAATACTCTATTTCAAATCAGGAGGACAAACACAATCCTACAGTGCTAATGAGGTACCAAAGGCTGACCCAGCATACATTAGTAATTAAGACTCCAAACTCGAATCATCAACTGGCAAGATTTGTCATCCCAAATTCTTGGTAGCTGGCATCACGTCACACTAAGTGTTTCCAAACACAAGCATAAATAAAAACCTTTTAAGAGGTGTGCGTGCAAGATCCTGCACAATATAAAAAACGAGAACAGATCTCTCCCTTGGTGAACTTCGAGTGTGCCAGTTGAATGACCAACCACGCCGCTTGGAACAGCCTGCGAGATCCGGTGGTAACCTGGAACGGCAACGGGAGACCCTGGGTGAGAGGGAGGACGATCTAGTAAGGCTGAATGAGGATCCTGGAACAAAGAAGAACAAGTTAGAAGGGCGCCGGAGTGTTTTCCGGCGTATCCCCTCCGACGGTCTAGTCAGTCTTTGAGTGAGAGAGAGGAAGGAGAAAACACTGAGAAAAATGTATTGTAGTAGAGAGTTTGTGATTGCATACCAGTCTTGCCTTTTGCAAGGAGTATTTATACCTTAAAAGCTCATGATTGCTGTCAGTGTGGTCAGTAGGTGATCATTAGGTGCAGGTTGCGTGTGCATTGATTCTGACGAGGAATGTCTTCTCTAATTAACTGCTCGGGGTCCCGAGCAATCAATACTGGATCATCGGGATGCCGACGGTACAATGTGCTCCTCTCGGGGAGGATGCAATAAATGCTCTGTAACAAGAGCATTTATTGCCTTTCATTTCTGAGCCTTACCGTATTGAATGCGGTCTCATCAAGGGAATGGTGCAATTAATTGTTTGCTTTCCCAAAGCACGTGTCAGCAACAGCATGCGGTTTGTCTGTCTTTGATGTGATATCATATGCCACGCGTCCATCCCCTATTGGCTATAACCTCTGTATTCCAGTATGTTCTGACATTACTTGTGTAAGACGAGGTCATGATGAATAGTCTAGACTAGCCTAGGCTGATGACCTGTACGTCAGTAGCTTATCCTGGAGTAGAGGAGGCGTCCAGGACGGGAGTACCTCTCGGCACCGAGGAAAGGCTGATCTCGGGGACCGAGGGAGTTATGCCGACCGAGGTACGTATCTGACCGAGGACACGTGTCGAATGTAATATATACTGAATGTATGATCCTATACGCTAGTACCTCGGGGGCGAGGCATTTTGTACGCCGATGCTGCTTGATCTTAGCAACAGTGTTTTAGTAAACCGAGGACACGTGTCTTCATCACAGGGTATTTTCAGAAAAGTCCCATCAAGAGGCATTGCAATCACCTTTGTATCGTGATGGATCTAATGCGGGCTTTTTATCTACACTAGACATTGATGTGCCTGAATTCATCAACACCCGCTTGACTCCTCTACCCACCACGCCAAGATGTGTCACTCCAGCAGCACCATTTGTGTGTGCAGTGGAAATAGAAGGAGACTCAAAACCTCCACTGCTGCTAGCGGTACCCATCTATATACAAGAGAGTGCAGAGAGCAAGTGTGTGTGTGTGTGTGAGAGAGAGAGAGAGAGATGACTAACCTGTGAGGGAGAGATGATGGAGGGAAGGGAGAGACGGGCGGCTAATAGAGGAGACTCAGGAGGGTAAGTTAGGGCTTGAGATATATATATATATTTAGCGAGTAGAGGGGACGAGAGTAAGGGTAAGTCCATTCCCGCACGAGTTTATACAAGTATTCCCATATACGTCAACTGTCCAATACGTATAGTCCATACCAGGTCCAAACGAGACGGAATTGGACGAATACCCGTTTTTCTCCGATCTACTGCCATCCTTAAATATCACCCTATAATCCAGACCCAATTCCAACAAATCCACAATCTAATAAATCTCCAAACCAATCAACCCCAATTGGAACTGATAATTACCAAATTCAATGGCGTGTGACAATATTAGTTGACAAATGAAAAATTTCAGGAGGTCTATATGTAATTAACTCTATATGAATAACATGCCTTAGATAAGTAACAAGGCAACCAAACGTTTAGATTTGGCGTCCCCTCAAAAGGTAGATCATATGATGGTAAAAGCTTGAAGTTAGGTTCTGAGTGGATGTTTTAGGTTGGATCTCATATGAATAAAGAAAGTCAATCCGCATGCAGATGAATGCGCTTGCTTGGTGGGTGGTGCTATGCCAAATAACCCATTTTTTTATTGGGTAGTCCCATTTTCACCCAACTTTTATTGAATAAAGCAAAGGTTGCTGCGATGACCCGCTCTTGTTTGGGAAAGTCTATCGTAATTTGTTTGGTATAGTATAAAAAATTCAGTTGTTTATAATAAATTGTGGGTAATTCGTATTTAAAGGCATGATACAATGTCTATAATTTTAAAAGAGATATTAGTAGCCATTCAATAAATTTATTTAAAACTATCGAATAAATTTGTTAAAATTTATCTTATTTTATATTATAAAATACACCTTTAAAATAAGAAATTTCAATTGTTCAAAGAAAATCTATAATCTATCGTAAACACTCATGATTGGTCATGAGTTTCTTTTCGGCAGTTATAATTTTTTTCTTATAAGTTGTAATTTGATATTTAAAAAATGTAAGTTAATCTTTAAAAATTATATTATTAATATTTATAATTTGACATTTAAAAATTATAAGTTAACCTTTAAAAATTATAATTTTAATATGATCAATCATGTCATTTATAAGTTGTAATTTATATTTTAAAAAATTATAATTTAACTTTAAAAAATTATAATTTTTGATACCATATTGCGTATACTACTACACAATCAATAACAACCATTTTCTCTTAAGTTGATGTATAAATATTTTTAAAGCGAATGGGCTTCCCATATCATCAAAACCAGTGGCCTAAGGTGTTCGAAGTGTTGTCTGTCTCTGACTCTTCTCTCTCTTGCTCTCTCTCTCTCTCTCTCTCTCAACTCTCTTCGATTTCCGTCGTCTTCCATGGTAACTTCTCAAGCAAATCTCCAATAGCTTGTCGAGCTCATCATCCAATACTCGAACACAATTAGAAGTCCAATCACTATACGCATGTCAATCAATATATAAAATATTAATGAAAATCTCACTTTCGCTATCTATCAGTCTTCAATTACCTTCTCTTTCTCTCCCTCTTTCTCTCTCTACGTTTGCATATATACGAAACATATTGCTCTGTTGCAGAAATCTAGGTACAGTCTTGGCAAGAGAATTCATGCTCGCAGATAACTTTCATGGCTGACCCTAAATGGAGACGATCATTCATTTATCGATTCATTCCCACTGCAATTTTGATTTCTGCTGCTTTCTTCATAGGGAGTGCATTCATTGTTCTAGATTATAAACAGGTACACACGCACGCACGCACGCACACACACACACACACACACACAGATATATATATATATATATATATATATATATATATATATATATATATATATATATATATATATATGTTGTCGTTATGTTCAACCTGTAATCCTACAAAATTCCCTAGTTTTTATAGAACTTATATTGAATAGACTTGGAGTTATTGTGGTTTATGGGGCTTTCCGTGTGCAGAAGTATTCAAGATTGCGAGTTGTTGATGCTGTGGAGATGACAAAACCTAATATTTGTGAGGTTTGTCTGTACTATTTTCGGCTCCCCCCCCCCCCCCCCTTCTGAAGTGTGTTGTTGATTTCTGAAAAGTAGTGTATGGTCCCTTTTGAGCATATGAAGTTTTGTAGTGTATGGTCCCTTTTGAGCATATGAAGTTTTACTCAATAAATTCTGTCTTTTTTTTTTCTTTCCTTTTTTTTAATAAATTCTGTCTTTGACATTGGGTTACGATTCAGAATCAGTGCAGACCTGATGGGAGTGAGATTTTGCCTAGCGGAATTGTTTCTAGAACTTCTGACTTGGAGATGCGGCCATTATGGGGCCCACGAAACAAAAAGGTAAAATCTCTCTCTTTCTTCAAGCTTGCATCAAAGAAAGAAAGAAAGAATGCATAGGCATAAGTGTGTTCGTGTGTGTTTACTGCTTATCCATGTAGATATGAGTGTCATTGACATGCACAGGAGTTATTTCTGCTGCATTATTTATGCAGGAATTAGATACTCTCAACTTGCCAAAAGCTATTTAGGCATCACTCTTAGGCCTCTGCAATTCCAATTGAAGGAATTAACTATTCACTATAGTGCCAAATTTATTCGAATGTCCATGAGAGTTTGATTCATCAGTGAGGGGCTAAAAGTTTGGGATGGCTCAGATGCCATATGGGTTGAACAAGTTTAGAAATGGAAGAGGCAGAGAAACTGATTGCTTGACCTTGACATGTCGAACATTGAAATGCGCTACTATTTATGTAATAACAGTGTATCATGGTTTCTTTCCATCTCCTGTTAATTTTCTCAATCCCGGCTCTTTTACCTATTTAAATTGGTGACCATAATTTTATTTCCACTTCAAGCAAATGTATGGTACGCTATCATTTTAAGACCTATTTATCATGCATTCATCAGATCAAGCCAGACAATATCTGCTACCAGCGTTTTGTGCATATGATTCATGACGTTAGTAATTTAAGAATTCATATGGCAGAGCCTTTTGAGTCAACATGATGTTTGAGAATCGGGCCTTGATGTTGTCTCTGCCAGCGATAATTAACTACTCTCGGTTGCCTTTCTATGGAGCCTAACCGAAATTGGTATCCTCACGAATAATAAAACGAGAACTTAAAAATTGGGTTGATTAGATCAAAATGGCTATACATAAAGTAGAGCTTTAGAAACCTAAATAAATCATAGGTGTTTTGTAGTTTCATTTCTAATCTTTTGTGTGGTTAATCTTACGGTATAGTTCTGTCTATTCAATGCAATCCTATCTGATACGTGCATGATCTGACATTTTTTTTTTCGTGATATTCAACCCATAATTTATGTCATTCATCTGAATTGTTTGCATTTATCTGATTTAAAATTTTCTGTTTTTGCATTTATTCCCAAGAAGAAATCAAAGTCACCAATGAACTTGTTGGCAATGGCAGTTGGAATAAAGCAAAAGAACAACGTGAATAAAACTGTCATGAAGGTAATAAGCAAAATTTTGCATATGCCAGTTGCTAGGTTAAATATTTATTTTGTGTCTAATCATTGGTTCTTTCTCATATTGCAGTTTCCGGCAAATGATTTTGTCATTATGCTTTTCCATTATGATGGTATGGTGGATGATTGGAGGGATTTTGAATGGAGTAGTCGTGCCATACACGTCTCCGCTGTTCATCAAACTAAATGGTAATGGTTCTTTGCTTTGATTTAAGTAAATTTTATATATTCTTAGACACGTTCTGTTTTGCACCAATTACTTAGGTGGTTCGCCAAGCGGTTCCTGCATCCAGATGTTGTGTCAGAGTATGCTTACATTTTCCTTTGGGATGAAGACCTTGGGGTTGAAAATTTCAATGTTGCACGGTAATGGCACATACATATACCTACACATATCTGGCGACATGCATAGGCATGGGTACCTATATGCATATCAGCACACATATTATCTGGCTGCAGTTTCTCATCTTATAAACTTTAACCTTAGTAAAATGGATTTGGTGGTTGCACATGGAAGTATTAGTATATTATCGTTTTTAGCTTTTCCGACACTTGTTGCTTGGAATAGATTGGTTCAAGGAACAACAAACATGATAGGAAACTCCCACAGTTCCAGTTGTAAGCATCTTGAGAAAACTTGTTCCACTTTTTGGACAATTACTGACACACCAGTTTATTTAGCTTGATGACAATGTTCATTCAAAACTTAAGAGAACCTTTCTTCTATTTCATTGAAAGAATTTTCTATTTCACAATTGCATTCTATTACTATAGAAATATTTTGTCTGAATGTTCTACATATCAATGAAACTGAGAAGGCAATTATAGGAAATTGCATATCTTCAGAAGATTTCCATCTGACGCCCAAACTTGCTCCATTTTACAGAGTTAATATGTAATAGAAAGCTATAGGCTTCTGTTGAGTAGCCATATTTTCCTCATATAGGACTTGAATTTCACAACCAAGAATGGTGATCATCATATGGTAACTACTGTTTAAAATTCTTGGCTGTCCATCTTCAACTTTATTGTTATATGCAGATATTTGGCAATAATTAAAGAAGAAGGGCTTCAGATATCACAGCCAGCGCTTGATCCTCGTAAATCGAAGGTGCATCACAGACTTACAGCACGACAAAAGGGTTCAAAAGTTCACAGGTATTTGCTTTCAAATAAATAAGTGTTCCGGTCTACCATGACAATATAATGTGGCTTTTGCCTTCCTTTGACAAAGAAGACAAAGTGATGTTTTTCAGCAGGCCTTACACATTTTCTTCGTCAAACAGTTAATTTTTGTTGAGGAAACTTTTCATCTACTGCATTTTCTCGTGCTAACAGAAGGATTATTAATTCAAGTGTTGCTAGGAAGGGGTGTAATGCAAACAGTACACAGCCTCCATGCACTGGGTAAAGAATCTGCTTACAGATCTCTGTTATTGTTAAAATGCCATTTGTTTTTTTTATATGTTGACTTAAATTACTCGTATATTAATTCTTGCCCCATGTATCTAGTAGTAATGAAAGAAATAATAATGCATCGTACAGGTGGGTGGAAATGATGGCTCCTGTTTTCTCCAAGGCATCCTGGCGTTGTGCATGGTATATGATTCAGGTAATTATAAAATAACATCAAAAGGGGAGGCAGATTTAAATGTTTGCGAATATTATGTAGATGTTTAACAGTTGGATAAAGATGCTGGTATATCTGTTCACAATTTGACATTGTGAATATGATTCTCATTATTGTGGGCAGTAGCCTAGCATATATGATTCTAATCATTGTGGACATTGGCTAATGTAGTTTGTCTACAGTAGCCATGTCTGAAGTCATGGCTTCATGAAAGTTGGAGGATAATGTAGTTTGTTTTCTCTTTGTTTTTCTACAGAATGATCTAGTTCACGCATGGGGATTGGACTTCCAGCTTGGTTACTGTGCACAGGCAATTTTGCCATTCTAGAATAACTTTGTTTTCTATCTATTCACTTAAAGAAATTTCTAACTTATGACGTGTGTGGTTGACAGGGTAACCGAACTCAAAATATAGGAATAGTTGACTCTGAGTTCTTGGTTCACCAGGGTCTTCCTACACTTGGGGGTTCAGCTGTAAACCAGGTATGCCATTAAATGAGGGAGGAATTGAATTGCTCCTTATATCCTCTTTTGTTTCAGTCTTAAGAATCATTTATGCAGTCTGATACTTCTCATTAGTAGTGCCTCTATTTCTTGTTGAATATTGCCTCGTCCTCCTAGTTCTTGTACTTAGGTCATGGTCACGCATGGAAGAACAATGACAGCCAATTAGTAAACATTCTTATTGTTTTGCTCAAAACCTCTCACAAATATTGCTATGGCATATGAGGCAGCATGTTTTAGAATCCAATAACAGGCTTTAAAATACAGCAATTTTTCTTTTCTTTTTTTCACAAGTAAACACACAAAATTTTCAATTTGTTTTCCTTAGACAGTACAATGTAAAAAACTTCCAACTGTATAATAATAAGTATAATTTGAAAGTGAAGAGCTGACAATTAATATCCTATGCAAGAACAGGATGCTTTAATACAGCATTTGATCAAAATATTTGCATAAAGTATCCATATAATGGTACGCCTACTGTAAACCATTTCTTCATAAGAGGTGGTCACAAGTGTGACCACAGTCTTACCATTACCGCTTCCTATATCACTTGGTATTTCTCTACAGATGATTTCCTATCCCTTTCATGTAGACACAATTCGCTGTGGTTATATCAGAGCATTACTCCTCTTATCCGTTAGCTGTTCTGAGAAGAAACTGGATTGGAAACATTTTGTTTCTTTTTAATCAGGAAATAGAAACCTTTTGTTTAGTTTATGGCATTTGAACATGGTTGAGGTGATAGATTTTTAGATCAAAGTGAAGGAATATAAATCGCAGGTATAATCTGGTCCAAGAAACTAAGTAAAATTGGAGGAACGATAGAGCACAAACTTCTAATTGTTCATTTTTATGGCCAAACCTTTGCTAGTACTTAACTTGGAATAACCTGGACTCTCTTTTCTTCCTCTCTCCAAATAATAGTGCCAGACTGCTTTATTATTCACTGATTCATTGATCCTTGGTGCAGAAAAATACTGAAGCAATCAGCGAAGCTTCTCAAAATGGAAACTTGCCAAACGGAGGAGCAATGGTATCTGTGGAACCCCTATTAATGTATCACACAAAAAATTTACCCTTAATTCATATTATAATCTGGTCATTTTAAATTGCAGGCACCATCTGTGTCTCATCAACCCAATACAAGAGATAAGGTGAATCTTGAATCTTGATATGTAATTGTCTACACACTGCGACTTTTCTTCATGTTGAAAAGGGTAATGAGGTGCCTGTTGAGGCATCTTGGAAGGTTTTGCACCTTTGTGTTCAAGTTTACCCCACTTAATGGTGGTCAATGAGCTGGGTCTAGCAGATCTGTCAGGTACTCCATGCCATGCATGTCGGACTATTGGACTGGTCCATGGCTCACTGGGTTAACCGGCCACTGGCATTTTTCCAAGCCCTAGCCATAGCCACACAGCACAAATGATTTGCTATCTATGTTACATATAAAGTTGTATTTTCACTAAATCATTGTAACTCCTGTTTGCTGCAGGTGATAAAGGAGTCCTATATTGAGCTAGAAAGATTTAAAAACAGATGGAGAAAAGCGGTTAGAGAAGATAAATGTTGGGCTGAACGCATCAGCAACCATTGAAGACTAGCTGAATGTGGCACCTGACTATACTGGTAGTTCTTTTTTCTTTGTAATAAAAAAAGTATAGAAAGTTTCTCTAGGAAAAAAAAACAAGTATAGATGTTATGTAAATTGCAGTGACAAATTCTTATTGTTCTTGCGATGATGATTCTATATAAATAAGTATAGGTGTGATTTTTTTCTTCTGTACATTGTTTTCTGATGAATCTTGGCTAGCTGATTCCATGCCTAACAAAATTCAATGCAAGTCCATTTGCACACACCAGACTAGAGATTGACGCTTATTGCATAATGATTTGTCATTCAACGCAATTCAATACCCATGTTAGCAGAGAGAAATTCTCTCAAATACATTCTGACTCCGTTTTGGTGAGTCCCACAACCATACATGTTGGATTATCTACCATTATGTAAAATTAAAAGAAAATGTATTTAAAGGGATCTGGGTCCATTGACACAATCAAGTTCTTGCGTGATGTATGCACCTCTCGTGTAATACCATCTCTTATTTACTTCACCCCCTGTTAAATTCTTCGATTTCACCATTACATCAGTGTACTCATGCTAATAACAACAAATAAATATACATTCTTACTGTCTATTAGATCTTTTTGTACTTGTACTTTTATCACACCATATCCATGTCTGGTTCTGAAAACAAAAACAAGACAATAGGTTCAATAAAGACTAATAAATTCAAAGTGGCATCAAATGCGACTCCTTTTGCTAACAACACCACTGATGAGTTGTCCTAGTTCCTCACCACAATCCTCCTGTACATGATGCCCAGCCTGCAAAAGCAGCAAGTCATGCAATCTTTTTCATCCCCCAAAACAACTTGATTACAAAATAAACAAAACAAGGCACATTAGAAGAGGTTTCACCCTGTACTCAAAATTTAAGTGAAAACGTTACAATGCGTAAACATGGATTTCTGGGGTGAGAGAGAGAGAGGTTACTCAACCCTCCTGAAGACAACTATGTCAAATGGGACATGCAAATGGAGAACAAACCAATGAAGCAGATAGTTTATCTAAATAATACTGAAACAATTTAAAAGCAATTTCATAAAGGCTTAAAAACTAATCCTGCTGAAAAATTTTCCTTGTATGTATTTTAATATGGAACAACTTCACTGGAAATCTGTTGCCTGAAATTTTTTTAGGATTCCATGTTACTTTCAAAATGGATTTCATTGAATCTGATATTTCCCATAATTTTCAAGTACCATATATTGTGCCTAGTGTTGGTTTGAGGGGAGCATTTCCGTTTCTCTACTCCTAAATAATTAAAATTTGTGGATGGCTAGTTTAAGTATGTTCTTTTCATTTCCTAGTGTCACCCAGAAACAATACAAAATTGCATCATGGACTTAAATTGCTAATCTTTCTCCTTCCTAAGTCCCATTTTTCCCACCAAACAGTAGATACTACTGTACCACAAGCCAGACTGCTGGTTGTAACTAATGCGGTGACGATGAGGTGGGACCATGGGAGTTACAGGAGGGCTGCTTTACTTCAATGGGATATGTGCAGCAAATGTAATGGGTGAACAGTTGAAAAAGCAACTTACATATGTGAATAGAAGGTGTAACATAGGTTTACCAAGCAACTACAATAGTTTAAAGAACTATTGGTACCATAGGAAGTTCCACCAGTCGAAGCTTTGATTTTTTGCAGAAATCTTCTACGCCATCAAAGCCCAGCCAGCGGTCCCTTTGGCCCCAGCATATGGTAGTTTTAACTTTCCAGTTATCATCCATAAGTATCATTCGCATATCTTCAACATAGGTCTGCATAGCAATCAAAATAAAACTCAATAGCAATGAATCTTCTTTCACGGAGTAATTGACACTGAGGTTTGAAGACAGACACAGGCCTATATGCTGATAATAAATTGACAATCTGGATATTCAATTCCATTGAAAAACCAGCCTGACCAGCTGAGCATGCAACTAAGTTCATTCGGCATAGAGGAAGGAGGCAAAACTCTTGCCCTGGCCTCACCTGTTTAAGTCAATGTTGGGAAACTTATCAAGTTCTTTCATGATCTAGATGGTAGTACACTGAATACAGCATATTCTTAAACAAGACATGGACCTGAGAGTATATGCGCTTATTTGCTAAAGAAAAACTGCCATATTCCAATGAATGAGTGCTCTCACAATACATGTGACCATGAAGTGCATTGGAGACACCACAGATGACACTGCATATCCATGTTACTACCATACGTTTCTTTCTGATTTGGTCTCTAAAGTGAGTCTGTCCATTTCTCTAGCATTTGTAGACCATTATTGTGCGGTATGATTTTAGCACAATAGATGAAATAACAGATCTCTCTTATGGTGAGCTCGAGTTTGTCGAGAAAGTCGTTTCAATGGAAGGCCTTCAGGAAGAAAGGTGATGAACAATAGATGAAAACTCTCTGCAAGCAGGGTAAGTTCTCGAACGGAATCTTGTCACTCAAGAAAGAAGGGCTAGAAGGGCACCGGAATATTTTCCGGTGTGACCCCTTCAACGCTCAAGTCAGTATTCGAGAAAGGGTTTGAAAACACTGTTCTATTGCTTGGGAAATAGGTAATGTACCTGAACTTTGAGCTTGAGGGTGCTATTTATACCTTCCAGGAATGGATCAAGGCGAACAGCTAGGTCCCTTTGGAGAGAAAACACCTGGTTGGCTCTTATAAAAGGACATCATCTAGTTCGCATATCTTGATCTGAGTGCCTGCTTCTCCCTGTACTAGAAGCTTCTGAAGTCACTCACTCAAGTCCCCGAGTATTTAATATACGCTTCTCGGCTCCGCCGAGCAATGAATACACCCCACGCCCCTACACAATCAGTTAATGTGCCTTAGGCATGGTTGTGCACACACATGGGTATTTTCGCCAATCCCCCTTCAAAGGGCCAGGAATTAATTGTCTCGTACGCCATATGCCTTTGTCATTGGCTATTCAACTGTCTTTCTGAACATTCTCAATGCCTTGGGGAAAGGAGCCAATACTTATAGTCTATTTCGCTCCCAAACCATGATCCTCAAAAGCTACTTTTTCTCGATCAAGGGTATACTTGCTTCAGTTAGTCCTTTCCTATTTTTCTCGAGATTTCAGCTCATCTCTTGGTTGGGATTGTCATCGGGGTGACTGTTCACCAAGTGCCGACATGCTACATGTATGTCGAGGTGACGTGGACAACATACAGAGGGAAGGCAAAGCACACCAAGGTACCTCATTCGAGCTGAAGTCACAACAACCCCTCCGGGACAATATGTCAAGGTGGACCAATGGCGCCGAGGACACGTGTCGCTTGTCCATACGATTGCTAAAACGTCCCATCAACTACCCCCCCAGCCCTTGATCTTCGTACGGGCTGGACGACATGTCAGATAAAGATTAAAGGGCCTGTACTTGCTGTCTTTTCATGAAGGACATGTAGTCGTTTTTCTCGCCTTTGGGATCCATACCACATTTAATGCGGCTCATCGCATATTATGCGTAATGATGGCCTCTTGCCATATTTAAGCAATCCTTTTCCTTCTTTTCGTCATTTTGCTTACTGAGAGAATTTTATCGAGTGGTTTGCTGGAGTTTCTACAAGGAGGCTATTGTCCATCAAAATGCCACCCATCTTTTTTGAGTTCGCCAAAGAAAAGAGCAGACCATCACCCCCACCCTCTTTCTAAGGTCTGTTTGTGCCGTGACGAGTCCTACTCTTGGCTTGGTTCTGAATCTCAGTTAAACCAGTTTGTCAATAACTGCCTTCTCTTTTCTTTTTCCAGTGATCGCCCCCTGTCCATCTCTCTCTTCGTGGATCTTCCCTTAAGATCCTATTCCTGAGTCCCCTTCTGTCTTTCCATGAAAAGACGTCGTCAGAATACTAGTGCTAGTACCGATGAGCCTAGTTCCTCTAGACAGAGGAAGCACACGATTACGAACTTTAAGGCTCACCATTTGATTCCCCTTGGGCTGACTGTTTATGAGTTCATACCCAAACTCCATTGTGCCGACGTCGGCACTGAGACAGCCATGCCCTTCTTTACTAAGGCCATTATAAAGGGAGGTATAAGATTCCCTCTTCACTCTATCCTTCTTCGTTTCTTATCCCGATTCTGTCTTTTCCTAGGACAGTGTTGTCTAAACACTTTTACGATCATCATGGGAGAGGCTGCCCTTGAATGAACGTCTTCAAGTCAATTAAGGCCCGAGACCCAACCATATACCTCGTGACACATCTAATGAACTCCAACAAGGGGTTCAAGGATAATTTGCTTGTCTTTGGTGACCAATGGGAGAGAGAAGTCGGCTTGGAGTACGTCGATTTGTGGTGCCCCAAGCAATGACGGACTGCGAATACGTTGGCCTCACTCTCACTTCAACTTCCCATACCACGACATTTTTGTACTTTGCTTCAAATCCCCTCTCTTTGCAGGAGTCACTAATGTCGAGTCTTCACCTCCCCCTCAGAACCTTGTCAATCTTTTCGATCTCTTCACCGCCCAAGGATACATGGGAAACGGTCTTAGCCGAATTGCTCACATGTTGTTTGATTACACCCTGGGATACATAAATTTTTCCCAAGCCCCCCAAGACTTTGACTCAGTGAGGTGGAGAGAGCTATCCAGCGAGAACTTAGAGAAGCCTCGATTGAGCTGTCAACGCCGAGGTAGAGAAGGCACAAGGTGAAACTGCCAACATCGTGGCAAAAAGAAGCACAAGCCACCACCGTCGATGCTGAGGCAAGCACTTCAGGAAGGAACAACTAGCTTAACTTCGAAGTTCTTCAAAACTTTGACGAAGACAATGCCTTAAAGCTTACCATGTCTAACCAACCCCGACTAACCCGCGACATGATCAAAGCTAGGGTTGCCCTCACCGTCGAATGGGGACGCAGCTTGAGGCCCGAGGACATTTCCTCAAACTAGCGACAAACTCGTCCATCTGGGGTTATGATCCAGAGGGTCGTTCCACCGAGGGTTCTGCCTCCTGTCGATGCTCCAATTG